TTGGATTTTTAAAAATCCATTTGTATCAAGTGGACTCTTTATAAAAGAGTAAATATCTAATTTAAAAAAATATTTTATCCAAGGCCGGGTGTAGTGGTTCACGCCTGTAATCCTAACATTCTGGGAGGCTGAGGCCGGCGGATCGCTCAAGGTCAGGAGATTAAAACCAGCCTGAACAACAGCGAGACCCCATCTCTACTAAAATTAGAAAGAAATTAATTGGCCAACTAAAAATATATAGAAAAATTAGCCAGGCATGGTGGCACGTGCCTGTAGTCCCAGCTACTTGGGAGGTTGAGGCAATAGGATTGCTTGAGCCCAGGAGTTTGAGGTTGCTGTGAGCTAAACTGATGCCACAGCACTCTAGCCTGGGCAACAAAGTGAGACTGTCTCAAAAAAAAAAAAAAAAAATTTTATTCAATGTTACCAAAGAGCTCTTCATTTTTGATGTTCCATACCTAAGGGAGTTCACTTATGAGGAATAGATTATTTTACTTAGGAACCTTCTATCCATTTCACCACATTGTTAAAAGCCTATATTCTGCAAATAATTCACATAATGAAATAATGGGCACAAATTATATACATTAAGAAGCATTAAAAATTTAAATACTTATAATAATTCAAAGCTCATTTGTTCTAAATCAATACTTAATATCTTAAATTGTTAATTTCTAATCAAAGCCTTATTAAGCAAAATAATCTAGGAGTATCTTGAAGTAGCAATGTATGTTTTATAGAAATTCTACATTTTATAGATTCTATAACTGTTTCTACAATACATACATTTCTATGATTACTGATTCATGGGTATCCTATAAATAGCTTGAATTTTTAACATGATTCATATTTATTGGGGTTGGTCCTCAGATGTGCATATCAAGAGACAAACACAGAGACGGTTGAAATTTAGCAGGCTTTTATCACTCCCACTAAAGAAAGCATTTTTTTAGCAGATGCAAAATTAGAACCATGAATTGAAACAACACAGAAATAACATGTTTGCTTATAGTGGATCATTTTTGCCCTATATTATAGAAAGTTTCCACTAATTTAAGATAAGAAACTGATAGTTTGTTGACAAGTTATGAGGCCCTATGATAAGCAAAATAAATAAATAAGTAAATAAAGACAATAAAATTATGCTAGGCACTGTGAAAAAGTGAAAGGAAATTAAAGTTGGTCATTGCAATTTAATTAAGAAAATAGTTTGAATGCAAATGAAAAAGACATTAAGACAAGTTCAAAGGACCTTTAGAAATTGTCTAGCTTTGTACTCTAATTTTATATAAGTGGAAACTGAGACATACTGAGGTTAAGTGTTTATCCAAAGTCATGGTTAGATTCTGTCAGAGCCAGCTCCTACCTCTTGTCCAGTCTTGTTTCACTGCATGGCATTGCCTCTTATAAATAGGACTTGTGCCAGTTAATTGTAATTGCTTAAGAACAAAACAACTGAAAAAATGGTGAAGTGTAATCACATATGGGTTGAAATAACATTAGTATAAGCAGAACTATTTGGGGGAGGAAACACCATTCTGGAACATCCATGTCAGTTTTGGCAAGCTGGAATGACAATCTGCAACTTTATTTTTACCAGTTATCAGTCACTGCTATAATGAGACAAATGCTACCAGTGAAATTTAATTATTGAATCAAACGTTTTAAAAAATTTATACACATGCTTAAATCTCACTGTACAAAGGAAAGGGGTTGTATTTTCTTTTCTTTCTTTCTTTTCTTTTTTTTTTTTTTGTTTGATATGCTTGTTTTATGGTCAAATTTGTATAGAAATGACCAGAGAGGGAAAAACTAGAAGTTTCACAGATATCTTTTAATTACTCTATGAGGCTAAATGAGCTGTAGTCTATTAAATGATTTCCACTATTTACAACAACTCATTAAGCTTAAACATTTTTTTAAACAATTCTAAAATTACAGGAAAGTTGGGAGAAAAGTACTAAGAATATTCCCCCCCCACCCTTCCCCCTCCATTTGAAAGCAAATTGCCAACATGTTGCACAATGACCCCAAAATACCTCAACAGATTACAAACCAAGACACTCTACCATATAACCAAAATACAACCACAGAAACCAGGAAGTTAACATTGATATATGACTGTCATCAAGTTTCTCCAGTTGTCCCAACTATGTCCTTAATAGCAGAAGCATCCAATTTAGAACCATGGGCTGCGTTTAGTTGCCATGTCTTTTAAGCCTCTGTAGGCTTGGAAAAGTCAACAGATTTTCCTTGAACTTCACAAATTTGACACTTTGGAAGCTCACAGGCCAGTTATTTTGTGGACTGTCTCTCAATTCAGATTTGTCTAATTTTATTTCATGATTAAATTCATGCATCTTTCACAAGGATATCATAGAAGTGATGCTGCTTTCTTCTCATTGCATGCTGTCTGTGGTACACGGCTGTGGTTTGTCCAATTACTGATGATGTTCACTTTGATAACTGGGCTAACGTGATGTCTGCCAGGTTTCTTCACAGTCAAATTTACTCTTTCCTCCTTAGGAGATAGTAAGTATTTCATGATGAGATACTTTAAAGCTTTGCTAACATCTCGTTTGTCTTCAAACTTTCAAGTTATTCATTTCTTTCTTTAAATCTTTATAGATTTGTGGTCTACTTATTTAATGGACTAAAATCCTCTACTGTCATTATTTATTTTAATGATCAAATTGTTACTGTAAGAGTGACTTTGATTGCATCTCTAATCTTTTGGCATGTCTCCATCATTCTTTGAACATTTCTTGACTTTCTGATACAACAGTATATTCTAGGCTCATTTTGTACTTTTTCTGCCTCATCCTGGAATGGGTCATTTTGCTAAGGAGTCATGTTAGTGAGAGTCCTGTTAGTGAGAATAGCATTTAGAAGCCAGGATTTGGGTGCTAAATGTGTTCATTGATATTGGGGTGTCACTGCTTCTGCACTGTGTCAGAGGACAAAAACTAAGGAACATATGATAATGTGCATACATACACATGGATTTCCTTTTTATTTATATGTCTGTATTTACTGAAGTCCATAACAATTCCTCCAGTTTCAGTCCAACAACACTGAGTTTATTGTTTATTCTCCCCCCCATTTCAATATTTGTAGCTTTCTTCTCTGACAGTGTGAAACCTGACTCTCCAGTTATATTGAATATATTTATTTTTTCATTACCCCTCCCTCATCAGTGGCCAAGCTTCCATTGCTACTCTACTCTCTGCCCTGCGTGGGTGCTCTCTCCCTCTCCTTAGGCTCTGAAAGCCTGTGCTGGATCACCCTTTTATGAGGATGCCCTCTCACTCCTCTAGGCTCTAACACACCACGCTAGGTAGCCTTCCTACATGGATGTCCTTGTCACTCCTCTCAGTTTCTGATACTTGGGACTGGGCCATTCAGCTCTCCCTGTCCTCACCTCTGCTGGTGTGTTTGCCTACCCTGCTGTGGCCTGGTTGTTGGGTTTATGATTAAATCTAATAGCAAAGGAAGGAAAGAAAGGGAAAAATAACAACTCCTCATTAGATTTTAAAATGAAATGTCAAACTTCTAAAATATTTAAACAATGCAATATATTATTAAAAGACAGGGATGGTGTATATTCCTGGAATCTATTTTTCTTTCTTGAATTAGTTTATTAAAAAACAGAGTGCTGGGGGAAGAATAAGCATCATCCATCAAAGTTAATCATAGCATCATGGAAGAGAAAGTCTTTGTCAATGAATGGCTTAAAGGCGATAGGAGAGAGTGACACACTGATAATTTCAACCAAAGACAAGGATTTCCTAAGGACCCATGTACTCTCCTTCATTCAAGATTTATTTAACAACACTTTGTTTTTTATGGTTTCTCTTTCGTTTCTTTGCTACCGAGAAATGCTCTCAGATTTTGTGATTGCAAGTGACTGACCCTTTCTGTAATGTCAATGTTAATGCTTTTAAATAATATTTTATTGGTGGTGTCAAGTCATGCTAAGTCACTTGTTACTTTGACTAAATCACAGAGTATCACACATTTTATATGAGGGATAGGGATCCACTTCCTCAAAATAAAACTGCTAGTGAGATAGACACAGAGGGTGACAGTTAATTTTAGGTGTCAACTTGACTAGATTGAGGAATACCTAGATAACTGGGAAAGCATTATTTTTGGACATCTCTGCGAAGGTGTTTATGCAGAAGATTGGCCTGTCAGTAGGTGGATTGAGTGGGGAAGATGTGCCCTCAAGGTGGGCAGCCACCTTCTAATTGGCTGGGCGCGCCCAGCAGAACAAAAAGGCAAAGAAAAGGTGAATTTGTGCTTTCCCTTTTTCTCTTTCTCTCCCTCCCTTTCTCTCTCTCTCTCTCTCTCCCTCTCGTTCTGTCTCTCTGGAGAACCCTGAGTAATACACATAGCAAAGTTACACAGTGGCTCACACCTGTAACCTAGCACTCTGGGAGGCCGTGATGGGCAGATTGCTTGAGATCAGGAGTTTGAAACCGCCCTGAGCAAGAGCAAGGCTGTCTCTACTATAAATAGAAAGAAATTAATTGGTCAACTAATATATATAGAAAAAATTCGCCGGGCATGGTGGCGCATGCCTGTAGTCCCAGCTACTTGGGAGGCTGAGGCAGCAGAATTGCTTGAGCCCAGGAGATTGAGGTTGCTATGAGCTAGGCTGACGCCATGGCACTCACTCTAGCCAGGGCAACAAAGCCAGATTCTGTCTCAAAAAAAGGTGGAACCACAGGGAACATTTGTTTAGGACTGCAGGGCTAGCACCCTACCACCTCATGTCATGGTCAGTGGTCCCTTCTTTCCTGAGTATTAGCATGTCTCTAAGATTTGCTTTAGTCTTATCGATTAAATGTAGAACATCATTAATGTGATAAACCCTGACATGTCTCACAGAATTTTTATAATCTATTGTGTGTTCTACTTTAGAAGGATTTTTTACTTTATGGATAAATGATTTGATAAATTACAGTGACTCGTTTAATGCTATCATGTTTTGTCAGGTTGCTGCAGTTGCCTTACGAACTCAATGAAACCACCTTTCCTGGAGTCCAGACACCTGGGAAATAACCACCGACTGGTATCCCTACTTGCTGTTCATTTCATGAAGGGGAGACCTCCCTTTTTGACTTTAAATACAACTGCTGAGAAATGTGCTTCCATTTCACCTTGTGGCATGCTTGAGGTGATTTTTAAGGCATTCTTTATGGAAATATTAGTACTTATGGTACAAGTGTTAGCAGTTATGGTTTATTATTAAACTGGAGCTGGAATTTGAATGCTGACGCTGCCACTTACTCACAGTGTGACCTCAGTTTCCTTATTTGTAAAATGAGATATTCTCATTGTCTCACAAAGTTTTTTTCTGAGCCTCAGCTAAAAGAAAAAAAAAATTAAGTTAAAGTGATTTTGGTACTTGAAAGTGCCATGCAAATGTAAGGCACTATTAGCATTTTGTAAAATGTCATTTCTTTAAGAGTAAAACCATTCATTAAGAAAAAAATCAAATGAAAGCAAAGTAATAAATAAAATTACTTTCAAAACTGTTGCAAGAATTTTGGTTTTGCAAATATAAATTTGTTTTCAGACTTAGTGAACATAAATATTTACTTTTAATGTTTAAGTAGTTATTGTAAAATCCAAAAAGTTTCAAAATTTTTAATTCCAAAATGTCTTTGCATTGCTTTAAAAGCAAGTTTAATTTCAAGGACAATATGCCCAGTCATTCTCTAAATCATCCCTAAGCAATAACAGTCTTGAGAGTCTATTAAGGTAAGGGCAGGTGTTAAGTCTTATTCACAATGAATTCTGCTCCAAGTCAGTTAGTTTACATTGTGACAATAGAAATAAAGAACAATAATTTAGAGACTCCAGAAGTTTCAATTAGATATTACCATTAAAAAAGGCCCATTATTGTAACTGTTTTCACTAATATTAACATAATGTGTTAAGTTCTCCATCTTGGGAGAACTGTGTTTATTCCAGTAGATTGGAAGAAATTTTCCTCTCTCATGAGCTAAACAACTATATTAAGCCACTGGAAGAAGGATTTGATTGGCATCATCTTAAACAATGAAAACAATTAAGTAATTAAATATTTAAGAATAATTTTGTATTAATATAGAACTAGTTTTACTTAATTAGTTGTGATTTAAAGTTCAAGATTTAAAAAATATATTTGTTGTAAAAATTCCACCAGGTTCTATGTTATCACTTTTCAATTTTCCTTGAAAGAGTTGCTTATTATGATATTTAAATTCTTGTGTCTTAAGATTAGAAATTAGTACTGATCTATTTAAAAAATCCTATTGAAACAGTTGAAATCCTAGCAGAATCTTTTTAATTTCCTTATTATATATATATATATCATAATAGTTTTTAAAAGCAAAAAACATGTGTAGAATTTTGGCATTCATGTTGAAAACCTGGGCACAATTCTCTGTCCTAAGGTACATGCATGGGAAGATTTGGGCTTTCAACAATTTAATAACTGACCATTTTGTTGAAATAATACAGTGATGTAGGTAGCCAGATAATGAAATGCTACTGAAGAGGCCTGAAATATCTAAGTTGCATAAGGGGGGGGGGATGCTTATACCATGTAGGGGGCAACTCCAATATTTGGGGGAAGGATTAATAAAATGTCTCTTTTAAAGGGAACATCAACTTAAGAGTGTCTTGCTTGTGAGACTGGAATGTCTTCCAGGTGTCATCAAGAAGAATGCCTTTGCATTTCCATGAAAGCAGAACACAAACAAATACGTGGGCACAGGTAGTTTACTTGGGAGTTAATTTCAGGAAACAGAAGTAAATAAGTAGGAGAGTGAGAGTTATTGAGCTAGCTACCTCTGTGGACAATTGGGGCTCAATTCTGCTTGAGACCTTCTAAGAAACTTTGTAGGATTCCCCTCAGGAGATGTTTCAGGAAAGGATAGGGAGACTGAGTGCCCATCACTAATTCCTGCCTCCCTTTGATTGGGTATTGTTTCTAGAGGCACTTTTGCATCACACACTTCCAAGCTGTGCCTGTTTAGGAGAGAGGTAGGCTAGTTGCTTTGAATGATTTCAGAGAAAGTCTAAAATGTGAAAGATGCTGCATCATAGCTTGAGGTGGGATGCTGGCCACTTGCACGAATTGTCTGGTGGACCAAGGGGTGTGGCCCAGACACCACAAGTGTTTGTTATAAAGAAGAGAAAACAAATAGTAAAAAGGAAGTTGTTATCCAATCATTTATAATAGAGTTGAGGTCACATTCTATATAGAGCCGTATATGAGATCAGAAAATGCCACTCCAAAATATTACTATAGGAGACCTAAATATAACACCCCAAAATATGTGTCTTTGGCATAAAGATTAATTGTGGTTGATTATTTTGAGAAACTATAGACACAAGGGAAGCTCTGAAAACACAGAAGTTACTCTTTTACGAGGAAAATTTACATCTATAAAGAAAATCTTCATTTATAAGTGTGAACTAAAATAAAATCTTAAGTCTCCCCTGGCGGAACAGATTCTCCTCTTGGCAAAGGGGACCCCAGAGAAACCTTAAAACTGAGTTCCCAGCCATGACTGATGGGAGGTCAGAAACACCTAATTATACCCCCTCCCTTACTAATGGCCATCAGGCTTTTTACCTAAGGGCTAAACAGAAACAAATTTCTTCATCCAGACTAGCATTCTTTCCTGATGGGAGACTGCAAACCATGGAATGTTTTTAACCACTCTATGGAGCATGCTCTGAGCGGGTTTTTGTGTCCTTGCTTCACCTTTTGACATGAGAGGGCAGCCATTTCTGAACGTGGACCCCATAAAGGGGCATAGAGCTCGATTATGCATGCTCATGTTTCTGCTTTAATAAATATTCATGACTCCTTTAGCTTGTTAAATATGTATATTTGGGCATCCTGCTCAGTATAAATTCCTGTTCGCATTGTCCCTGCCTCGAAGCAGAGTTCCTGGCTTCTGGCCTGGGCTCTGTTTTCCAGCCTGTCAGAACGGCCACCCACAGGCTGCAACTGTTTATGCGAAATAAAGATCTCCTTTCTAAATTTATGAACCTACTTATTTCTTTAGTTAGCATAAGTATATCTCCTTCTTCTCTGTACCAGGAAGAGAAGGATGACTGAATCACTATAGACTCTTATCAATGAGGAAGGCACTGACTTAAATCTGTGTAACAAACCTTACCATTATTTACAGTGCTTTTCCTGGTCACCTCCCCGTTACTGGCCTCCCCAACACCCTTCTTTTATTCTTTCAGCAGAAGATGGTATTTAAGCTCTAATTCCAAGCCATCTCTTGGAGATTTACTCATTTCTCTATGTATCTATTGGTGTACATGAAGTATACATGTTATTAAACTTCTGTTTGCTTTTTTCTTGTTAATCTGTCTTTTGTTACAGAACTCCATCTCAACTAAGAACTATGAAGATTAGAAAGAAAATTATTTTTCCCCTCCTACAGCTTAAAATAAGAGTTGAAGGCATTTTCCAGCATTATACAGAAGAGAGAATGCTGTGAATTTTTCATGACTAATATTGTCTAAATTGATATATTTCTATGATGGCAAAAGTCTTAACAAGCTATCTTGGCTTGAAGGAAGCAGGTTTTCAGAAACAGAATGTCATATGTTCTGATCCTAAGTTCATTAAGCAACAACTGATCTGCAATTTGGTATCCCAGATGGACCTACCCTCAGGAAGTGAATGCCCTGTGCAAATGGCCATTTTTCAGATAAAGTTCCCAATATATGGAATAGCATATTGGAGCTTAGGTTTGAGGCAGCCTCTTGGAGGCTTATTTTTGTATATTAAATTCTTATCCCAGAAAACCAAAGAGTTGTAATTTGAAGGTTTATTAGAGTAATAAGCATTTCACTGAATCTGAGATTTTGAATGATCAAGAACAGTCTGTAATAGAAATTAATAATTTACCTGAGACCAAATAGCTTGTGAATGGACAGGCTGGAACTATTCAGACAGGAATTCAGTTCAATACTCTGCAATAGCATCATAGATAGTATGCATCTGTCAATTTGCATAATCAATATTTCATTTTTGTACCATACAGGGTCATTGTTTAAGTACACAGTGATATACTTCCTGACCTTTAGAATTTTAAATCACTAGGCTTAGTGAAATCCCCCAAACACCTTTCAAAACTCATGGAAAGGCATATGAATGCAGGCATTTGGAGTGTTTTGAATACCAAAAGCCAAAACCAGTACAGGTAAATGACAAGCATCATTTAAAAAGAATGCTTTAACAGCTGGCAGAATAAATCAACCAAAGTTGAAGTATTCCTTTCACTTGTCTGTGGAATTTTTCTTCCTAGGAGTGAGGGACTCCTTCGGAGAAAGAGGATAATAGGTCAGCACATTCATCTCTTGCCACCTCTAGATATAAAATGCTGTATATTTATTCATATGTGTGATATATAACAAACAGCTCAACATTTGAATCCAAGGAGACACATGTTGCAGGGTCCAGACTGCTGTGACTGTCCCATGTCAGGGCAAGCCATGGGCATTAGTGTCCAAGTAATTTCTGCAACAAAATAACACTCCAGCCTCTGAGATCGGATTTCATGAAGGTGCTTTGTGATTTTGGCTTATACTTTTATTGCTGGGGAAATGGAATTTCCACTGTTTCCTCCTGTTTGGAACTGAGATGGGACAAGGGCCTTGCTTAGGGGCCTGCTGGGCCCCCTAAACATGGAAATAAAGGAAACCTTGAGTCCCTTCAGGGAAAGTTCCAGGCACCTAGTCAGCCTTCAAATGGGAAGGGGAATGACTATGGTTCTCCAGGCAAGCCAGAGTCCTGAGGGTTTTTTGTTCCCTATGGAAACTTAACACACGTCCCTGAGTTGTTTTACAGAAACACCCGCTGATGGAAAATGCAGATAAGGGGGAACTAAGGAATTGAACTGTGATCATTATTTGTTCTAAATTTCCTCCTGAAGGGCCTGTCACACTCATCTAACATTCCTTTCCACCAATCCAAGACTTTCCGAATCCACCTATGCCCCCTCCTGCAACTTCAAGATATCTTGGTTTTTTGGAGGCCAGGCCAGTGTATAACCTTCACGTATTGATTTGCAATTTTCCCTGCCTGAAATGTACCTCTGTCTCTGAAATCCCTGAGTTGTAAGCCAGGTCTTAAGCATTAGCTGCCCCCATATGCCTTGCTTGGTGGCCTCCAGTAAAGCCTTTTTCCTCCTGCTGTAGTCTGGGCATCAGTGCTTGGCTTTGCTGCCCTGAGCCAGTAGACCCCAGTTTGGTGTGGTCACAGAACCGGCCCCAGCCAGTGTCTCCCTATGGCTAGCCAAGGGCATTTTTCTACTCTTTTGGGGAAGGAGTTAGAACCTCATTTTCCATTCCATGTCTCCTATTAGTCACCCAGAGTCCCTGAAATCATCTTTCTCAGGTATCACAAATGAAGAACCAATCTAAAATCAGTGAGGATGGTAGGGACTCTCTTGAAATCCTCCAGATCACCAAGGTCCAAG